TCTCCACCATTGGGAACTCTCCGTGCTCTTCCCTCCGTGAACAGTGCCATGAACGCGTCACACTAGGTGCAACGCCATTGGTTGAGTGCGACATTCCAGGGTGGTCAATGGTCATTCCGAACATCGATCAACGACCAAATAAGTACGTATCAGGAACTGCGACATACTGAGGCGTGCGACATCACATAGTCGGAAACTACGTTATTAAGCATACGGTTGATTTGGGCTTTCGAATAAATGGGAAGATATTGGAAAATGCGACTTATCAGGGATGTGACATAGCAGGAGATTGACTGTACTTAGTTTTCCGAGACGATCTACCCCAATTCGTTCTGTAGGGGTTGACCGTTCAAAGGTGGACATATAAAACCATTTGATTTTCGCCATCAACTGTAGCAGGTCGAAATGACCGATGAAAAACACTCAAAATTACCGATGTCAGACTGTTCCGAAATATTCATTTGCGTAGTCAACCTGTTCGTATTTTGTGTGAGTGAGTCATCAATCATTGTTGCTCATTCACTCTGTGACTCATCTTTGATTTCGAGTTTTGGGTGTACATTTTGAGGTGAATTGTTCTGCTGTCCCTACTAAGAACGATAATGATAGGGTTGACTACGGTGATTTGGACGTTAACAACGATAACATTTGATACCTTTAAACCCAGTTATCAATCTAGATGTTTTATGTATAAATTTTAAATACTCCGAGGTTTACAAAGAAACACTTATCGATCTACTGGCGGACCCTTCGCAACCGATCACAATGCAACAACTTGGCCGTGTAACGTTACACGATAATGGTCGACAAATTCTACTCCGTGGTGCAAGGGAAGTCGAGGTCAGTACGGAAGATGAGATTCTGGAGGAGGTTCGGTAAGCGTTTGTTGGACCAACGAACCCTCTAGTTGGTCCATTTATGGTTGGACCAAAAAAATAAGTATTTCTCTTGTTCTTTTTATTCTCTGTAATTTTTTCCACATTATCCCTCTTTGTATTCAAACCCCCCTTTTGACATTATTGTTGCTGTCATACTTGTTCGCAAGCATTTATACATTTCAGTAAAACAGAAAGAAGACAAATGTCGCGGGATGTTAGCATTTCATTTAATCTTTTCAATCGTTGAATTAAAACAAGCGGACACATATGTCTTGTTGTCATGACATGTTTTGCAACAGATGACTCTGATTTTTTTGTGATTACTTGGCCATCAGTTCTCGGTTGCGTTATCAACTTCACCAACCACTTTGAAACGTATTCGGCCAGAGTGTCGTTGGGCTTCAGGACACCACACGATGGATAGTGTAAAATTTGTTGTACCGATCAAGTAGGTTTCCGGTACCTACCACTCTCAAAACCCATTCGGAAAGGCCATACTTTTC